AAAAACCATTTATCCTGAACTGTGGTCGGCATCCCACAACACCTGCTACGCATGGGATCGGCGGGTTGAAATTACCTGCCGCAAAGGATTTTGTGGGCAAGCAGCGAGAGGCCCTAAAGTCGGCACGTCGTTGGTTGCAATTGGCCCAACAAAGGCAAAAATCCTATGCCGATATGAAACGCCGGGAAGTATCGTTCTCCGTTGGAGACAAAGTTTTATTAAGCACGAAAAATATTCGGCTTAAGATCCCTGGTGCGAGAAAGTTGTTCCCTCGCTGGATTGGGCCCTTCGAGGTGATGCAACGAGTTGGTGCGGTAGCTTACAAGCTCAAGCTACCTGATACCCTGCAGATTCACAATGTCTTCCATGTGTCTCTGTTAAGCAAGTACGTTGCAGAAGGCAAGTACTTGCCACCACCAACAATCGTCCTAGGGGAGGAACTGTACTATGAAGTCGAACGAGTGCTTTTGCACCGTGATCGACAACGCGGCCGCAAGACTGTACGAGAGTTCCTCATTAAGTGGAAAGGCTATGGGCCTGAACACAACTCTTGGGAGCCAGAAGAACATTTGACTGATACTGCGGTTCAGTCTTACATGGAAGACCTGGCTCAGCGAGCACTCCCACAACCAGCGGATGGTGTTGACCCTGGTCGTAATGTGGTTCGTCGTGCTCGTAGCACTCGTCCTAAGAAGCACCCCACGGCAACGAGGACGTTGCCAGCTGGAGGGGGAGGAGTGTAACATATCCAATCCCACCAATCCAAGGTCTCGATACATTGAACCTGGGTTGGGAAGAGAAAACGGAAATGAACTGGTTGGAAAGCGGGGAAACGAACTGGTTGGCAAGCCAACCAATCAGAACACTTTTATACAAAGTGAGTCGAGAAGTTTCCCGCCGCTGGTTGGAGTTACAACCAATCACAAACATTCGAAGTCCAACACAACTCTTGCGTTGGAATTGCAACCAGTTGAAACATGACAGGTAGGGATAACATATTACATACACAGCATTTTATCCCTTTGTTTGTGCCATGTCATTGAGTAACCTTTGCCACATGGGCAAGGCCCAAGGGAGTGCACCCCTCCTTGCCATGGGGAAGGTGGTTGCACCCCAAGGGGGTCTAGGGAAGGGGTCTGAAGCCTCTTGGCTCATTCTCCATTTCCTACTCCCAACTAATCAATTGGGAAATAGGATTGCTTTTCTCTCAACACACCTTCCACAGTTTGTGACTGCATCTCCTAGCAACTCTCAGACTTAGTCATTTTCCAGGAGCTGCTACTCTCTGGTTGTATTAGAACCTATTATTAAGTGGGTAAATGCCCTTTTTCTTCATAGATCCGTTACAGATACGATGCGTATCTAGCGAGGAAGTCGAGATGAAAGGAACGAATAGAGACGGAATACGAGCTGACTCTAAGAACAGGAGTTTGACAGGGAGGAGTTTGACCTTACCGCCTGATCGTGCAATGCGTGTGGTGTAAGCTGAACTAAGGGTTTTTAGTTATTTCGGAAGGGGTACTTCCGACCCTGCGCTTTCTAGGGAGCTTCATCTCTACCTGCACAGAGTTTCCCAGGTTTCGACGCCCAGGCAGAAGACTTATTGGGCTGGGACAGAACTCGGCTCCACGTTTATCCACGTGTCAGTCACTGCGCATCCCAACCACTGCTGCTGCACACAGAGAAACAGTGCGCAACCGCTTTTGTTATTTTCTGCCGAGCCAAAACCACGTTCTGGGTGGCTCGGCACCTCACTGTTTCGATATCTGGGGGAGATCATTTTCGTGCCCAAACTCCATCCAGTAACACACGCCAGAGCGCCACTGCAAACGGAAACGACCTCCGTCTAGTACAGTGACGTCAGTTGCCGTCAAACGACGCTAATACCTCGCTATAACAGAAACGCGATTTTGTTTTAGGGTGAGTTGATTGAAAAAAAACTTAGCCAGTATTTTCAGAAGATTGCATCTGGCCTTATTGAATGAATTTGTTAAACAATGTTACCATTCAAGTATATCTAGAAGATTACATCAAGCCTTATTGAATTAATCTGTTAAACAATGTTACCATTCAAGCTCTTTGAGATTGCATATGGCCTTATTAAATTAATTTGTTCAACAATGTTTCCATTTAGGGCCTTCTTGGTTCCTTTTGATCTAATATTGAAACAAACAACTTGCTTTTGAGGGGACGAATCATCGTGCAAGCTGCAAAACCCTAACCCATTAAACAAAATGGCATAATCTTGCGTGGATTTAGAGTCTTGTAGTATTGTCAACATATGTAGACACAGGGTGCTAGAGTTTAGAAGCCTTTAAATATCTCTGGGCGTTTCAGAACACATGATATCATTTTCACACATATGTTATTATGTGTACTCAGTTTCACTTCTAACCGTGATGTTATATTATTATTATATTTGTGAAGTTAAATTCTCACAAATAAGTTATTCTGTGGACTTAAACGCCCATGAATGTTTAAAGGCTTAACACGTAAATACGTAACATTATGTTTACAAATGTAGACAATACTATAGGACTGTAAATGCATGCAAGATCATGCCATTTTCTTCTATAAACCCGGCTTTTGCAACTTGCACGATGTTTCGTCCCTTTAAATGAAATTTGCGTGTTTCAATTTTAGAGGAAAAGGAAACTCAATAATGCCCTGAATGTTAACACCGTTTTACAAATTAATTTAGAAAGGCCATATGCAATCCTAAAAAATAATGGCTAAGTTTCTATTATATTCAAATCAGCCTAAAACTAGATCGCGTTTCTGTTATGGGGAGCTATTAACGCCGTTTGACGGAGGTAGAAGTCACTGGACTAGACGGAGTTTATTTCCGTTTGCAGTGTCGCCCTGGCGTGTGTTACTGGACGGAGTTTGGGCGCGAAAATGATCCCCCCCAGATATCGAAACAGTGAGGTGCCGAGCCACCCAGAACGTGGTTTTGGCTCGGCAGAAAATAACAAAAGCGGTTGCGCACTGTTTCTCTGTGTGCAGCAGCAGTGGTTGGGATGCGCAGTGACTGACACGTGGATAAACGTGGAGCCGAGTTCTGTCCCAGCCCAATAAGTCTTCTGCCTGGGCGTCGAAACATGGGAAACTCTGTGCAGGTAGAGATGAAGCTCCCTAGAAAGCGCAGGGTCGGAAGTACCCCTTCCGAAATAACTAAAAACCCCTGAACTAAGTGCTGCGACCGTGATAAGCAGCATGTTTGGCTGCAAGCAACGGGTTTACTATGGGTTGGGGCTGTTTAGGTCGGGTTAGGTGAGGTGAAATTCATTCAGTATGGTGTTGATTGGTAAGCCGAAAGGGGAGTGGCTGGATGGACGGTGAGCGGAGGGGACGGCTCGGCAAGGCACGGGCATTCGTGCAACCATCAAATCCAGCACATCCCCCCCCGAACCACTATCCCTATTTGTGACGCGACCAAAGGGAGACCGGGGCAAGATGGCAGCGATTTATGAAAGTTTCGATACGGTCCATTTGCGTTACAGTATGATGCAGCACGGTGATCGAGGCAAAACCGTGTTTTCTTGCTCGGGTCGGATACGGGGGTTCGGTGTGACCATGTGGCCATGTGCGGAGCAGTTTTTGGTGGGGTGCGACGCGGGCCACGCTCAGCCTGAAACCGCATTTCCTGATGACCAGTGAGCGTCCAGCCTGTCAGGAGATAATTGGGAAAGTACATCGCAGCTCCACAGTTTCAAAAATATCTCAATTTTGATCCCGAGTTTACCCAAAAAGTCCAGCTTTGCGGAATTCTGCTCACGCGAGGCCCAAAGTATGTTCAAAACTGGTCCTGCGGGGCAGAAATTACGACACGTGTCGATTTCGTGCAAGGTTTTTTATACGGGGCAAACCAAGCATAATACCCCTGGGGAAACGGGACACAATTTGGGTAATATATTGCACTGCCTGCGTAAGCAGGCAGTGCAATCGAGTCAGCAAGCTGACCGCGGGCAAGAAAAAAACTAAAACCCTCTCGGATGGGATGCCATCCGAGGGAGCCTCAACCCTAAAATTTTAGGGTTGATGCTCCCGAATGGCATGCCGTAAGCCAAGGGGTTTAATTTTTGCCCGCGGGATACATTTCGGGAGGGATCAACCCTAAACACCGGGCGGGTTCCCGTGTTTAGGGTTGATCCCTCCCGAACAAGTGTCCTGGTTTCCCCAGGGGTATTATTGTTTTTGTGCCCCGTCAAAAATTGTTGGTGTGAAATAGACACGTGTCAATATTTGAGCCCTACAGGACCAGTTTTGAACATAATTTGGGCCTCGCGTGAGCCAAATCCCAGAAAGTGGGACCTTTCGAGTAAACCTGGGGGTAAATATGAGAGAAATCTGAAAGTAAGGATCTAGGATATAGTTTCCCGAGATAATTTGGTTTGGGCAAGAGAACAAGCATTTCAGTCAATCAACTTCTGTGCTTTCAAGCATTTCCGCTTTCTCGTTTTAGTGACACTCGACTACCTTCCTACCATTAACGAGAATGTGCACATTAGTACTTTAGTTGTACAATTTGGCACTCAAGTTCCTCACACTATGTGACCATTTGGACTGGGGTGACTTCATCTGATTGCACTACAAGCACAAGCACGGATGGTTATATTTTCTATGCACAAGCAGGCAGTGGTTTTCCACAAAGGTTGGGGTTCCCTACCTTAAACGAACCTCTCTTCAGCTTGCTCAGAACAGCCGGAACAGCCCCTGACAGCCGATTCCCTGCCAGCTTCACTTGCCATATGCCTGCTGGCCTTCTGTCGATCCGAGGAAACAACAACAGCAGCAGCAGCGGCGGCGGCAGCAGCAGCAGCAGCAGCATCAGCGGCAGCAGCGGCATCCATGTGATGGCTGCGCCATCCCAGCTGCATGCATGCTGGGCATGCTGGTTGTGGCCATGCCTGTCTGTCGAGCAGAGGAAACAGCAGCAGCGGCAGCATTCATGTTATGGCAGCCCATCCATGGCCTTCCTATGAGGCGATTACCCCATGTCATGGCTGTGCCATCCCAGCAGCATGCATGGTGGGTATGCTGGTTATGGCCATTCCTGTCTGTCGAGCAGCAGTGGCAGCGGCTAGTTCCTCTCTGTGCCTCTCGTTTTCTGCTCTCAGCCGATAAGTCTCTTGCTCCAACTGCTCTATCCTGTGAGGCCACATCCATGTCATGGCTGCGCCATCCCAGCAGCGTGCATGGTGGGCATGCTGGTTATAACCATTCCTGTCTGTCGAGTAGCACCTAGTTCCTCCCGGAGCCTCTCGTTCTCTGCTCTCAGCTGAGCGTTCTCCTGCTCCAGCTGCTCTATCCGTGTCGTTTGCTCCGAGTCCTTCCTGCAACGATCACATGGACAGCACAAAAAAAAAAAAGCAGAGTGGAATATGTGCATGTTCGGAAAGAAGAAAAAAGAAAAGAAAATAAAAGTAGAAAAGTACGCCACAGCATGGAGCGCGTCACAGCACGGCACGGCAGTGTACACTGTTACCGCACAGCAGAGCAGAGTCTTCTCCTCTCTTCTCACCTGTTCATGGAGCTTTGGAACACTTTTGAGGCTTCGGTTCTCTGTCTCGAAAGTCACATACTACTTGCTCTTCAAACCAAACTGCTCTAACTATACTGGAGACACATGAGAGCAAAGCACAGGATGGCATGGACCGCACCGTATGGCACCGCATAGCACAGCACAGCACCGCACAACAAAGTTCCTCCGCCTCACCTGTTCATGAAGCTCTGGAACGTCTTGAGGCTGCGGTTCTCCGTTTCAAGAGTCTCACACCTGCGCTTCAAACTGGCCACATCTGGTGAACCCAACCCGGCACCTGCGGCACCCCCAGTGCGCCCCTTGGCCTCCGCCATCCTGTGTGGAAAAGGGATGAAGAGGAAAAAAAAACAAGGGACGAGGAGAATAGAGAGTCTCACACTCCGAGATCCCAACCCAGCACCCTTGGCCTCGGCCATTCTGTGTGGAAAAGGCAAGAAGAGGAAAACAAACAAGGGACGGGAGCAAAAGTCCCGGCAACAAAGAACCAACTTAACTCAGAGCACAAGGTCAATTTATGCTCTGCATCACAGGGGACGTACTTTTTTAAAGATGACTCAAAACACAAAAAGCCCGGTCGGGTCACACAGAAGCAAAAGGGCATTTTACACTCTGCCGCACGGGGGACTTACTTGCGTTGTCGCTCCACTCTATGTTGCCGAGACGAGTCACCAAACGGGGAGGAGGGAACAGTGGGAGTGAGGCAGGCCGAGGGGGTGTGCGTGCCAGAGGGAGTGAGAGAGCCGGTTCTAGCAAGGGACAGCCCGTCACAGGGATGATGGTCCAAGGGACCAGACCCACCCCACCGCGCCTGCTGTAGCTGCTGCTGCTGTGCCTGCTGTTGCTGCACCTGCTGCTGTGCTGCTGTGGGACTGTCCGAAGACATGGCACTGGCGCTTCTCTTTACCCCTGTTACTGCAGCAGCAGCAGCAGCCCCAGAAACACCGGTGGCAACGGCAGCAGCAGCAGCAGCAGCAGCCGGTAACACCAGCAGTAGCGGCAGCAGCACCACCAGCAAATCCGGACCCTCCATTCGGGTTCTGGCTTGCTTCGAACCCGAATCCGCCATTCAGCAGCCGAGCCTCCCCCAGAGGAGACAGGCTGGCAGGAGTGACAAGGAGACTGGGGGAGGCGAGAGGGCTATCTGGGGAAGGTACACCTGCTGCAGTGGGGGAAGGTGCACTTGGGGAGGGTGCACCTGGGGAGGCCACAGCTGGGGTGGGGTGGAGGAAAGAGGGGGGGATGGAAGAGGGGACCTGGAGCCTGAGTGATAGATTGTGCAATCTGTTTCTAACGCCTGAGGGATGGGGGAGGGTGTTGTTTGGTGTGAAATTATGCTTCTGCTGCTGCTGCTGCTGCTGCTGCTGCTGCTGCTGCTGCTGCTGCTGCTGCTGCTGCTGCTGCTGCTGCTGCTGCTGCTGCTGCTGCTGCTGCTGCTGCTGCTGCTGCTGCTGCTGCTGCTGCTGCTGCTGCTGCTGCTGCTGCTGCTGCTGCTGCTGCTGCTGCTGCTGCTGCTGCTGCTGCTGCTGCTGCTGCTGCTGCTGCTGCTGCTGCTGCTGCTGCTGCTGCTGCTGCTGCTGCTGCTGCTGCTGCTGCTGCTGCTGCTGCTGCTGCTGCTGCTGCTGCTGCTGCTGCTGCTGCTGCTGCTGCTGCTGCTGCTGCTGCTGCTGCTGCTGCTGCTGCTGCTGCTGCTGCTGCTGCTGCTGCTGCTGCTGCTGCTGCTGCTGCTGCTGCTGCTGCTGCTGCTGCTGCTGCTGCTGCTGCTGCTGCTGCTGCTGCTGCTGCTGCTGCTGCTGCTGCTGCTGCTGCTGCTGCTGCTGCTGCTGCTGCTGCTGCTGCTGCTGCTGCTGCTGCTGCTGCTGCTGCTGCTGCTGCTGCTGCTGCTGCTGCTGCTGCTGCTGCTGCTGCTGCTGCTGCTGCTGCTGCTGCTGCTGCTGCTGCTGCTGCTGCTGCTGCTGCTGCTGCTGCTGCTGCTGCTGCTGCTGCTGCTGCTGCTGCTGCTGTTGGTGTTGTTGCTGGTGCTGTAGTTGCTGCTGCCACTGCTGCTGTTGCTTCTCGCTATGCTGCTGCCTTCTCGTTTCCTGCTCCTGCTGCCATTGCTGTTGCCGTTGCTGTTGCTGCTGCTGTTCCTGCACCTGCTGTGTTCCCACCACCTGACGCTGCTTCTGCTGCTCCTTCTCCATCTCAAAACTCGGCCCCGCCGCCCCAAAGGTAGGAGTGCCAGGAGCAGATCCCTGCTCCTTTGCACCGCACCCAACCACTGTGGGAGTACCACCAACCGAGCCTGACCCAGGTATACCACCTCCCCCTATGATAGGAGTAGAAGGGCCTGAACCAGGTAGACCTGTTTGCAAGTTGGTTGGAGTGCCAGGGCGGGATGCTGATCGGCCTATGGTTACAGGGTGAGAGGCCACTGTGCCTTCCGAGGTGCACGGACCTGATGCCGGACCTGAGGCCGGACCGGACGCCGGACCTGATGCCGAGCCTCCGGGTGACTGAAGACCCGCCGTAGCTTCCTGAGCACCCGAAACAGCTGTGCCAGTGGCACCAGAAGCAGCAGCGGCAGCATTAAGAGCAGCACTATTGCTACGACCAGCAGCAGCAGGAGAAGAAGCATTATCACGTGCAGCAGGAGAGCAATCATACCCTTGTGCACCCCCCCCACTGAAGGACCGACCAAGGGCAGGAAATGCTCCATCAGCAGCAGCGGCAGTTGCAGCATGAGCTGCGGAAGCAGCACAACAGTTATACCCTTGTGTACCCGCCCCACTGGCGGAACGACCAAGGACAGGGAACCTGCCATCAGCAGCAGCGGCAGCTGCAGCAACAGCAGCTGCGGCAGCAGCGGCAACACCGGGAGGAGGGTTGGAGTGGGAGGCGCGGTGGGAGTGGGTGGTGTGCGGTTGGTGTGGATGGGGATGGTGGAAGGTTGTGTCGGAATGGGAGGGAGTGGGGGTGGGGGAGGCTGAGGAGGGGGAGAGAGGGGTGGAGCGGGGGGTGGTGCTGCTGGTGGGGCTTTGAGCTGCTTTCTTCCCGATGCTGCCCCGTTTGCGAGCTAGGGTGCTGTAGAAGGGAGGCCAAGGGGAGTGGGAAGGGGGGTAGGGTGGTGGTTAACGAAGGGGAATGGGTAAGGATGCAGGGAGGAGAGGAGACGAGGTGAAAAATAAAAGGAAGGAAGGAAGGAAGAAAGAAAGAAAGAAAGAAAGAAAGAAAGAAAGAAAGAAAGAAAGAAAGAAAGAAAGAAAGAAAGAAAGAAAGAAAGAAAGAAAGAAAGAAAGAAAGAAAGAAAGAAAGAAAGAAAGAAAGAAAGAAAGAAAGAAAGAACGGCAGAGGATAGAAACGTACCCTTTAAGCAAGCTGACCACTGATGACACGTTTCTTCCTCTCGGTGCCATCGCAGTTATCACACTCCCCTGCACAGTCCCTTGCACATTGCCACTCCCAACCGAACCTGAGATAGGCATGGGAGGACCAGCTGTGCCTGGGCTAGCAGCAGGGTGAGAACCTTCCGAGCCCGAAGCTGGGTAAACAGCGGCCTTTGCCGAGCCTGAGGTTGGGAAGGCAGACGGGCTTGCCAGGGCTGATGAGGAGGGTTGAGAAAGAGCGTTCGTCTGGTGAAAGGTGTCCTGCTGCTGATGCTGCTGATGCTGCTTCTGAAATTCGTGCTGAATGTGCTGCTCAGGTGTTTCTGTTGATTTCTCTTGAGCTAGCACTGGTGATTTTTCTTGTTCCTGCTGCCTCATCTGCAACTGTAGTTGGCTGCTGCTGCTGCTGTTGCTGCTGCTGCTGCTTCTGCTGCTGCTGCTGTTGTTGTTGCTGCTGCTGCTGCTGCTGCTGTTGTTGCTGTGGTCGCCCCTGCTGCCCCTGCTGCTGCGCCTGCCCCTGCTGTCCCTGCTGTTGCTGCTGTCCCTGCTGCCCTTGCTGTTGCTGCTGCACCTGCCCCTGCTGCCCCTGCTGTTGTTGCTGAACCTGCTGCTGCGCACTTTGATTCTTCATACTCTTAACCCCCAGTTTGTGCTGCAGTCGATGCACCAGCGACGATGCGCTACTCTTCTTCTGCTGCCCCTGCTGCTGCATCTGCTGTCCCTGCTGCTCCCCCTGCTGCTGCTGCCCATGCTGCCCCTGCTGCCCCAGCCGCTCCCCTTCCTGCTGGTCTCCTACCACAGGGTTCAAACCTGCTTGCTGATTCACAGGCCCTCCCCGAGCCATCTGCCTTGTTCTCACCCCACTATACACCACCCCGCCTGCCCCCGCTCCTCTCCCCCCTCCCCCTGCGCCAGTGCCCCTGCCTCCAGGGGAAGGTGGAATGGGAGGCTTAGGGGGAGTCTCACCGAGCTTACCCGCTGCTGATGCCAGCCCAAAACTCGCACCAGGACCACCAGCAGCAACGGGAGCAGCAAAACCATTATTACCACCACCAGCAACAGCAGCAACATTGCCAGTACTACCCGCAGAAGCACCAGCAGCAGCACCGGCAGCAGGAGAAGCACCAGCAGCACCAGCAGCAGCACCAGCAGCGGCAGGAGGAATTGGTATCTGAAGGTTTCCTAAAATGGCAGCAGCGAGGGCAGCAGCGGAGGAGGAGAGGGCAGCGAGGTCCACCTGTCCCAGCGGCCCCTGCAGGGCGGCTATGGTGGCCTGTAGGTCTGCGGGCGACGCCAGTCGCTGCAGCAGCTCGTCCGTTGAGAGAGGTACGCCCTGCGCGTTCACCAGCCGCCTGTGTTGGGGGAATAGGGGTGTAGGGAGGGGGGGGGGGGTAGAGTGTTAGCAAGCATGACTGAAGGCAGCAGAAGCAGCAGCCTGCCTGTGGAGAGCGGCACACCCTGGGATTTCACCAGCCGCCTGTGTTGGATGCTGGGGTTGTGCAAAAAGGGAGGGTTTAGAGTGTTAGCTAGCCTGACTGAGGGCAGCAGCAGCAACAGTACCAGTGGCAGCAGCAACAGTACCAGTGGCAGCAGCAACAGTACCAGTGGCAGCAGCAACAGTACCAGTGGCAGCAGCAACAGTACCAGTGGGCATTCTCCAGCCGCCTGTAGGGATGGAGGGGTTTAGGGTTTGAGATTAGAGTTGGGATAAGATTTCTTGGGGTGTTAGTGAGCTTGAGTGAGAGAAGCAGCAGCTCGTTCGTGGAGAGTGGCACGCCCTGGGCGTTCACCAGCCGCCCGTGTTGTGGGGGGTAGGGACGGAGGCATACAGGGAGCGAGGGTTTTAGGGACACCGGCTGCTTCAAGAGTGGAGAGTTGTTGTGGTTCAGGGTTTAGAAACTGGGGTTTGGAGAGGTGGAAAGTTAGAGGCAGCGAGATCCCCCAAAACCTGGCACTATCCAGACTGGGCTAACACCTAAGTCCTGGCACTTGCCTAAGAATTCGCACCTACCTAAGTCCTGTCACTTACTGAATCTCTTGCGACTTGCTCCTTGTGATGGGTGCCTTGAGCCGCAACAGCCCCTGCAGCACGATAAATGAAGACATAGAGGGACAAACGAGCGGATTTTGACACATGGTCTTGCAGCTATATACAGCAGAGACGCTCATGAGAAATTGCATGCTGCAGTGCAGTGCAGAGGAGTGCAGGGCAGTGGAGCGCAGTGGAGTGCAATGGAGTGCAGTGGAGTGCAATGAAGCGCAGTGGAGTGAGTGCAACACACTCTTGCCCACGCTGGCTGCTTCACACTCTAGAACGCGCAAAGAAGCGATGGACGCAACATGCACAGGGCTTGCACGGAATGAATTACATAGCTCTCGCAGGAGGTAGGTAGGTAGGTAGGTCATACAGAATAGTTGGGTGACTGTTGCTGTTGCTGCTGCTGCTGCTGCTGTTGCTGCTGATGCTGCTGCTGCTGCTGATGCTGCTGGTGCTGTTGTTGCTGCTGCGGCTGTTGCTGCTGCTGCTGCTGCTGGCGTGCCTAGCCCCATTCTGCAGTTAAGAATCAGCAAAAAGTACACCAGGACGGGTGTACGGAAAGAATGTTTTCATGAGTTCTCAATTTCTATGAAGCCCATGCCTAGCTGCGTTCGGTGGGTGAGATACAGCAGAACGCACACAGGACAGATGCACGGAGAAGAAATCAAATGCTTCTCGTGTGTGTGTGTGTGTGAGAGAGAAGGGGGGGGATGAGCGGGGGAAGGGAGGTGGGGGGAGTGTGGGGAAGGACGAGAGGGATTTGCAGCTAGGAGAGGACAAAGGGGGGCTGGCTAGATAGGGGGGCTGGCTAGATAGGGAGGAAGGATGGAGGGAGGATGGAGGGAGGAGCGAGGGAGGATGGAGGGAGGATGGAGGGAGGAGCGAGGGAGAACCATTCCCAGTGAAGAGCGTTTAATCAAGTCAAACTCATTGTATGTACCTGCGCTGTTGAGGAGGTGTTTTTTGCTGTTGGGGAGGCAGCATCATCTGCTGCTGGGGAGGTGTGAACTGTGTCGATTGCTGCCATTGCTGCTGTTGCGGCTGTTGTGGCTGTTGTGGCTGTTGCGGCTGTTGTTGCTGCTGCTGCTGCTGCTGCTGAACCTGACCCTACACCCCGGGCCACGTCAGACCCATCCACTGATGGCATGGCAAAGAGAAACGACTCATTGGCGTCGTTGACTGGACCAAGATTCCCTTGCCCCTGACCTTGGTATTGCTGCTCCTGCTGCTGCTGCTGCCGCTGCTGCCGCTGCTGCCCCTGTCCCGGCTGATGCTGCTGTTCCACCAGCAGCCGTTGCTGCAACTGCTGTCGAGAGGTGGGGCGGGGGAGGTTCACTGGAGGAAAAGGACGAGGCGGAAGAGCTTGTACCGGGGAGTTGGCTATCTGTGGCATGCCGGGCACAATCAAAAGACATACACACATTTGGTGAGCTGCTGGTCCTCGATAAATACCTATTAATAACTTACACTTTCTGATATCAAAGAAGAAATAGAATGTTTTTCTGAGACCAGCAATTTCTTGCAGCAACTTACATCAGCGGACAGCCAGCTCTGGAACAGCTCCTCGCTGTTGAGACGGCTGAGCTTCGGTGAAGGGTACACCGCTGCAGCTGACAGGCCTGCTCTTCCTCCCATGCCTGCTCCTCCTGCCGAGCCTGCTCCTGCCGTGCCTGTTCCTCGTCCTGCTGCTGCTCCCCATACGTTTAAGGTCGGAAATGGCAGCGGCGAACCCATGCCTGCTTCCCCCTTCCCTTCTCCCCCCGCTCCGGCTTCCCCTGCCCCAGTTCCACCCTGGTTTCCCCCCAACCCCGCACCCCCTTGCTCTCCAGTCCCAAAGCTTAACGGGGAAGACCCGCTTGCGTTGCTAGCGCCACCAGCAGCACCAGTGCCAGCGGCGGAATCAGCAGCGGAAGCAGCAGCAGCATCAGCAGCACCGCCATCAGCAGTGAAACCAGCAGCCGCAGTGCTGTCTAGGAAAGAACGGACAAAGAGGTCTTCCGGGGACATGGAAGCAGAAGGACCTCCCGATGCTGCACGGAATGGGAGCATGCAACAACGGGGTATGATGCAGTACGGGGAATGCGGGGTTAAAGTTCGTAGCATTGACTCTCTCATTGGCTTTTTTTCAAAATAATTCTGCAAGTCGTTCTCAGTTTACAAGCACAACAATAACACCAACAGAAACCAAAGCAAAATAATGGAGACTCGGTGGATACTAACGCACGTTGCTCGAGCTTCCTCACCGTTATTGACGGCTCCGCAGTTACCAATAGCCATGGCGCGAGCCTGGAGCTCGGTGGAGATGCTTCGCGTGATACGGCGGTTCGACAGGTCCATTATCTATTGTGCTACGAGGCGCGCAAATTCAGACAAAACAGATACAAAATCACAAATATTTAATAGCCAACTCGTAAGTTATTGCGGTTCGACAGGTTGATTATTTAATCGTGCTACGAGGCTTGCTGAGTCGGACCGAAACTCGACACAATATTATAATCGTTAACACCAGTCGGACCAAAACAGAAGTTTTTCGGACATAAATAGCGTCGACACTAGTCCACTAGACTTTGCGATCTGGTAGCACAATAGATAATGGATAATGATAACGGCGCTCCGTTACATAGTTGAGCGATTAGGGATAAATAGTGGCGCTTTAGTACTAGAAGCGAACATACAGAACGTATCCCTAAGACCTACTTGACCACGACGGCCTTAAGAGAGTGAGGGCCAACCGTCAACTGTGGGAGCGATACCTCCTAGACCACAAGCTTCTGGCAAGGCAAGAACTCCAGCCTGCAAATTGAGTGTCCTTGGGCAGTGGGCCTGAGGACGCGGTAAGTGCTCGATCGGGGGGAGATCGATCCGGTCACCGCACTGAAACCCCGCTTTTTGCCTACGAAAAGTACACAATCGTTAACAACCGCGCTAAAATACGAACATGAGGTGATCGATTCTCAGGGCGTGTAAAATTGTTACGACCAAACGCTATGGTCGTTCATTTGGGCGTTTCTGGCGATTGCGAGGAATTAGGGTTACGTTGTTTAGAGTAGTCACCCCGATTTGACCGAATAAAAGAGGTATTCTACATAGAAATTGGACGCACTGCATTTTGGGACCTACGTAGACATGTTTCCTCAGCGAGGGGAAAAACCTTTGTGCTCGCCTAAACTTAATGCTTTGTTGAATACTCTGGTCTAGGCCCCCGAGTCCCCTGTATTCCATACCCCGTTCGAATGCAGTAGTCAGAATAAAAAATTTCGCTTTCAATTACGGGGATGGTTTGTGACGGATGCCCCACGCGCTCGCGAAATTTGTGGCGGGGATCGCTTACGCGTTACATCGTTTCGCAATCGCCAGAAACGCGCAAAGGGCGGAAAATCCGTTTGGTCGTAACAACTTTACACGCCCTCAGAGGTTCATACCCTAGAAATTGGATTTCCGAAGCTGGCCTTGCCAAGTGACTGGCGGCAGTTGTTCGCGCGCGATTCATACCTCCAACATCCAAACCGCCCGTTGTCCTACGTCATCATTGGAAAAGGAGGGTTTGCCTGTCCAACAGTGATACAACATCTGCTTTGCCCCTCACGACACCATGTCCTTTTGTGTTTGGCCGAACCCGACGGAAAAACGAGGCTCGTAGAGGACCCGATATCGAACACCCCGCCGCACTGTAACTACGCTTATCGATGCATTCTTAACATAGGAGGAAAATATATCAAGTGCAAACGACCAACTCTATGCAGCATACTGTTGCTTATTGCAACACGCAATTACACAAATTAAAGGTACACAGCTTCAATTCGGGTCCATATTTTGTTTACCCCGTTGATAATCGAGAGTAATTGACCCTACCTACTGTGTGATCCTCTCTCCATCGGGTCCTCCGGGCTCAATCTATCCTAACCGAAGCAATAATGTGGATTCGCATGTATGCTTTCACACAACCCAACTCACACAACCCAATGCTTTCAGCCAAATGAGACATCCTCCCTCAACTAGGGTTACTTTACTACTAAATTGACACCAAAAGATAGAGATCAAGAGTCACACAGAGAAAATGTACTCGATTCATTATGTACAAAGGGCGAAAACATTGGCCACATGTCCCTGAGGACCAGTTTGAATGCTACTGTCCAAAAATCACCCCGTACCTCAACCCCATCATTCCGTTCCCACCATCGCACTCCCCCCACCATCCTCCTCCCTATCCGCCTCCACATTCATGCCCGTACCACCATCCGACGCACCCACTTCCATTCCCATCCCTCCAGCAACAAGAGACGGGAGCCCCCAGATGCGCACAGTTCCATCATCCGAGGCTGTAGCAAACATGTGCGGGCGGGTGGCTGGCCATGAGACGGCGTTTACCGTCCCGGAGTGTCCTGGAAGCACCTCCATAACCTCGCCAGTGTCGCGATGCCACATGTACACCTACACATAACAAATGAGTAAATGAGTTTTGTGCCTTAAAGCCGGAAAGGCACGAGGGTAGGCGGTAAAGTGCAGAAAAGAATGGTTGCTCACCTCGTTGCTTACCTTAAGGCCGTCACTTACTTGAGCATCTTCACTGCCGCTGATGATGAAGCGCTGATCATGGCCTCCAAAGCAGGAGCGAATCACAAAGCGGCCTTGCACCTGAGCAGAAATGTTAAACAGCGAACACAGGCAAGGAAGTAGTCTTATGATGAGAAGTGAGTGCCTCAGCAGAATGGGGCAACCTAGCATAGAGAAGAGAGGTACAGAAATACTGGTATTCCATAAGATGGTAAAAGGACATAAGGATGGGTGGTTCCACAAGTTACCCTGACAATTCTAGGACTTCCCGACACTAACCTTATGCTGCCCCCCAAAAAATACCACAGCTTACCTGCCCGCTGTAAGAAAAAGCTGGCTTTTCAGGAGGCTTGGCAGCACAGATGTCCTGAATGCACCAGAGATGGATGTCACCTGATGATAGATTCACCAGGACCCATCTGGTCGTTTTAGGGGGGAAGTGGGGAAGGGAGAGTGGGGGGAAACAGGAGTGAAAGCATTGAGGCACTTGCTGGCAGCACAGATGTCCTGAATGCACCAGAGGTGTATGTCACCTGATGATAGATTCACCAACACCCACCTGTCGTGGGGGGAGAGAGTGGGGGATAGAGAGTGGGGGGGAAGGGGAGTGAGAGCATGAGGCACCCGTTGAGGAGGCTTAGCATACATGTGCATATGTCCTGAATGAACCCCTGAATGAACCAGAGATGGATGTCGCCTGATGATAAATGCACCAACACCCATCTGGTTGTTTCGAGTAAGCAGCAGGGGAGAGGGAAGGTTTGCGGGGAACGAGAGAAAGGTGGGAAAGAGAGAGAGGCATTACGACATGTGATGTCTAAAGGCTTGACGAGTAAAAGTCTTCATTAAAAGTACAGCTCTCACCTGCCGTCCACAGACATGCTGAGCGATGTGATTGACTTGGTCTCCTTGACCACGTGCTCTTTTCCTGAGGGCAGCTCATGCACTCGAATCTCCTTCTCGTTGCACACTGACACCTGCGGGAGAGCAAGAGAAGATTAAATCATGTGACGTGGAAATCCGTTTCTGACGACAGCTCGTGCGCCCAAATCTCCTTCTCGTTGCACACTGACACCTGCGGGAGCGGATAATAGAGGGGACGGAACAGGGATATAGAAGCAGGAAGGAAGGGAATAACAAGAGAAGGGACTGGGATCAAGCAATGGCGAAAATCTGTTCCTGACTGCAGCTCGTGCACTCGAATCCCCTTCTAGTTGCACACTGAGCACCTGCGGGAGCGGAAGGAGGAGAGAAGAGTCCCTCATGCCCTCATGCCCTCATGCACTCATGCCCTCATGCCCTCATGCCCTGATGACCTCATGCCCTCATGAACTCATGCCCTCATGCCCTGATGACCTCATGCCCTCATGCCCTCATGCCCTCATGCACTCATGGACTCATGCACGCATGCCCTCATGCTCTCATGCCCTCATGCCCTCATGCAGAAAAAGGCAGAGAGTGGCAGAGGGTAGCAGAGAAATGCACCATACACACACACAGATACACACAGCCATACAGACACACACAGACACACACATGCCTGCAAGCAATCCATGGGAGCAGTCGGAGCTGATAGCAAGGTCGTTGATCCGAGGAAAATCAAATCCGTCCTGCTACTACAGGTGCCGTCCCACCCCATTTTTGTGGCGCGTGGTGGAGTGGAGTGGGGTGTTGTGGATTGCGCTGGAGTGTGATAGATTGCGGTGGAGTGCGGTGAGTTTTCTCTCACCACATGGGAGCAGTCGGAGCTGACAGCAAAGTCGTTGATGCGAGGAAAATCCCCCCCCATCCTGCTGCCACAGGTACCGCCCCACCCCATTCCAGTGAAGTTCGGTGGAGTGCAGTGGACTGTGGTAGATCGTGGTGGAGTGTGGTAGATTGCGGTGGAGTGCAATGAGTGTCCTCTCACCACATGGGAGCAGTCGGAGCTGATAGCAAGGTCGTTGATCCGAGGGAAGTCTCCCCCATCCTGCTGCCACACGTGCCGCCCCACCCCATTTGAGTAGAGAGTGGTGGAGTGCGGTGGAGTGTGGTGAAGTGCGGCAGAGTGTGGTGGAAATCCTCTCACCACATGGGAGCAGTCGGAGCTGATAGCAAGGTTGTTGATTCGAGGGAAGTCTCCCCCATCCTGCTGCCACAGGTGCCGCCCCACCCCATTTGAGTAGAGAGTGGTGGAGTGCAGTGGACTGTGGTAGATCGTGGTGGAGTGTGGTAGATTGCGGTGGAGTGTGGTGGGAGTCCTCTCACCACATGGGAGCAGTCAGAGCTGATAGCAAGGTCGTTGATCCGAGGGAAGTCTCCCCCATCCTGCTGCCACAGGTGCCGCCCCACCCCATTTGAGTAGAGAGTGGTGGAGTGCAGTGGACTGTGGTAGATCGTGGTGGAGTGTGGTAGATTACGGTGGAGTGTGGTGGGAGTCCTCTCACCACATGGGAGCAGTCAGAGCTGATAGCAAGGTCGTTGATCCGAGGGAAGTCTCCCCCATCCTGCTGCCACAGGTGCCGCCCCACCCCATTTGAGTAGAGAGTGGTGGAGTGCGGTGGAGTGTGGTGAAGTGCGGCAGAGTGTGGTGGAAATCCTCTCACCACATGGGAGCAGTCGGAGCTGATAGCAAGGTTGTTGATCCGAGGGAAGTCTCCCCCATCCTGCTGCCACAGGTGCCGCCCCACCCCATTTGAGTAGAGAGTGGTGGAGTGCAGTGGACTGTGGTAGATCGTGGTGGAGTGTGGTAGATTGCGGTGGAGTGTGGTGGGAGTCCTCTCACCACATGGGAGCAGTCAGAGCTGATAGCAAGGTCGTTGATCCGAGGGAAGTCTCCCCCATCCTGCTGCCACAGGTGCCGCCCCACCCCATTTGATTAGAGAGTGGTGGAGTGCGGTGGAGTGTGGTGAAGTGCGGCAGAGTGTGGTGGAAATCCTCTCACCACATGGGAGCAGTCGGAGCTGATAGCAAGGTTGTTGATTCGAGGGAAGTCTCCCCCATCCTGCTGCCACAGGTGCCGCCCCACTCCATTTGAGTAGAGAGTGGTGGAGTGCAGTGGACTGTGGTAGATCGTGGTGGAGTGTGGTAGATTGCGGTGGAGTGTGGTGGGAGTCCTCTCACCACATGGGAGCAGTCAGAGCTGATAGCAAGGTCGTTGATCCGAGGGAAGTCTCCCCCATCCTGCTGCCACAAGTGCCGCCCCACCCCTCCCCATGAGGGCAGCTCACTTCCCTCCACGTCCCACACACACACTGTGCGATCCGTCGCCGCAGATGCTGACAAAAACCGCCGCCCACAGGGAAACCACGCACAGGCGGAAATGGCCTGGGAGAGGGGTGAGGTGAAGAGAGAAAGGGCCAGGGAAGCAAAGGTGTGGAGAAAAGAGCGTGTTGAAGTGTGGTGGAGTGTGGTGGAGAGGGCAGGAGCAAGAGGAAAAGGGTTGGTAAATCATTAGCTTGCCCCTTGGCCAGGTTGACTTTTGAGTCAAAAGGCAAGCAGCGAGTCACATCATGAGTCAAATAAAACCTCAACTTGGCCAGGCAAGCAGCAACTCACGTCGTGGTGCTTGGAGAAGGAGCACAGCAGGCGGCCAGTGGCTGCATCCCAGAGGCAGGGAGGGAGGGAAGGAGGGAGGGACGGAGGGAGGGAGGCAGGCAGGCAGGCCGCAAGGCAGCAACCCACGTCGTGGCAGCAGCCGCAGCAGCAGCAGAAGCAGCAGCAGGCGGCCAGTGGCTGGGTCCCAGAGGCAGGGAGGGAGGGAGGGACCTGGAAAGCGCACAGTACTGCAGAGGGTGAGCAGCAACTCACGTCGCGGTGTTTGGAGAAGGAGCGCAGCAGGCGGGCAGTGGCTGCATCCCAGAGACACACAAAGGGGGGAGGGAGTGTGGTCAAGGCAACAACTGTCAAGGAAGGCAGCAACTCACGTCCTGGTGTTTGGAGAAGGAGCGCAGCAGGCGGCCAGTGGCTGCATCCCAGAGGCACACAAAGGGGTCGTTGCCGGCTGTGAGCAGCAGCGAGTCGTCTGGACTCCACGCCACGTAGGAGAGCGGCAGGGAGTGGCCGGCGAGTGTATGCAGGCGACGGTGGGTGAAGCTGTCAACGATCTGAGTCAAAAATAGGTCAAGGGAGGGGATGGAAGGAAGCAGTAGAGTGTGAGCAGCAGCGAGTCGTCTGGACTCCATGCCACATAGGAGAGCGGCAAGGAGTGGCCGGCGAGTGTATGCAGGCGAGAAGCTGTCAACGATCTGACAAGGGAAGGAGGGTGGGTGGGGGAGGTGGGGGAGGGTGGGTGGGGGATTGTATGGTTTGGAAAAGAGGTCGGGGTTAAGGGGAAAGAGGGAGCGAGTGGCCGCCCCAACGCGCGTGTGCAGGCAACACAGGGAGAAACTGTCAACGATCTGGGGCAGGGAAGGGGAATGGATGGAGGAGAGTAGGGTTGGAAAGGAGCAAGGTGGAGCGAGGTGGAGCGAGGTGGAGCGAGGTGGAGCGAGGTGGAGCGAGGTGGAGCGAGCAAGGCGGATGGGTTGGTTGTTGCCGGCTGTGAGCAACAGTGAGTCGTCTCGGCTCCACAATTCAGTGCGATTCAGTGCGGTGGTGGAAGGTACGGAAGCAGGCCTTACCTGCTAGACGACGGCCGTGTGGTCTTTAGAGGCAGTGGCGAGCCTGGTGCCGTCATGAGAAATGAGAGGAGTCAATTTTAAAAGCTTTATGTTTTTGAGTGCAATTCAGTGTGCTGGAGTGCGGTTCAATGTGGTGGAGGAAGGTAACAAAGTAAGCCTCACCTGCCAGACTACAGCCGTGTGGTCTTTAGAGGCAGTGGCAAGCCTGCTGCCGTCGTGGGAGAATTGCACACACCACACCTCATCGCTGTGCTGCTCCAAAACCTGAGACAGAAACGGTATGAAGAGGAGTAAAAATGGGAAAGCGGTGAGCGGTTTTTTTAGGCACATTTAAAAAAAAAAAAAAAAAAAAGGGAGGTGAGAAACGGTAAAAAGAGAGGAATGGGAAGGTGAGCTTTGATGTATGGCGAATAAAAAATCGTACGTGAGACAGAAACGGTTACAAGAGGGGTAAGAACGGAATAGTGGTGGGTTGATTGATGCGATCGCTCTTCTATCAAAGTGGTGATAGTGAAATCTCAACCTTACCTGGTAACCTAAGTTGGTAACACTGGTGAATTACACCCCCTCCTGAGAGGTAACACTGATTACACCTCTCCTGAGTGGTAACACTGATCACACCCCTACCTGAGTGGTAACCGTAGGAATCATTTCCCGCCCACAAGAATGATCCGTGAACAGTGTCAGCGCTTCGTCAGCCACGTTGTGGTAGTGGCACCGATCTCGACCCATCTCCACCGTACTCTCTATAAGCTGCTCCAGTCTCCGATCCGGAACCATCACTGATGCCGGCAACAGCGCCTGCACCGCTTTCAGAACCGAGCCTCGGGATTCCGAACCTGTCCCGGGCCAGCCGGACCGAGCCTTTAGGTCCTCAGGTCCGGCACACAGGAGCCAGCCCGCCAGCTGGTGTAGCCGCTTCGGATCCGAAGCTGCGGGCCCGAGCCTGCTTCGGAGGGTCGTCAGGGCTTCCCGAACCTCCCCAGCTTCGACAAGCTCGAGGAATTTCTGCTCCAGAAGCAGGAATACGGCGTGACGAAGCAGAGATGGGTCCGAACCTTGTAGGTTCGACAAAATTGCGACGCTCTCCTCCCATTGCCCAGCCATAATTGCTTGCCGAAGCTGCGCTACAGGCTTGGATTCCAAAGCTACGCCCGATTCTGCTTCCAGTTGGGCCGCTATTGAATCATACCCTAGCGAACGCAGTGATTGCTCTATAAGGCGGATAAACTCCACCGTGCGAATCTGACCCTTGGATCCGAGCCGATCGCGATCGGACGGCTGATAGCTCCTCCCTACTTGTTCCCCTCCTGAAGCATCCGCAGCACCGTCTTCGGGCCCCATCCCCATAGAAAGGGTCGCAAATCGACCAATCGTGGCGTGACAGATGGCAGCAGCTCCGGAGGGGTGATCCTCGGAAGATTTTCCGGGAGACGCGGCGGCAGATGCGCAGAACGAGCACAAAATAAAACCGCGGGCGGACGCAGCGGAATGGTCGTGATACGGGCAGGAGAGCTTGGCGCGCTTCGATGACGGCTCGGCGGCACCGCCGGCGAACGTAGCCGGGGCTGCCACGTCACGACTACTGGTAGGGTAACCGGCGCGCCGAGCGGCGACGGTGATGGTGGTGGTGGGGGATGCAGCAACTGCGGTAACTGTGGTGATTGGTGAAACTAAGGATTCTATGTTAGGGTTCGTGGCTTGACTACTAGAAGAGGGATAGCTGTCGGAACGCAGATCGCCTTCACTGCCCATGAACAGACAATCATAGCCGTTTATTTGGAGAGTGTTTACGGCGCTATCTGGAATTAGGCAGGCGTACTAGTGGAACTAAGAGCGTTCAGCGTACTAACATCTTTTTGACTGATTGCCTGCAGAATATTCTCTATCTTTGCTGCTGTTTATTATGGTCGAAATTTACCTTGAATTCGTATTCGCGCAAGAAGGAACGAACTCCATATAGTTCGTCAGGACCATCACTGTAAACCGAGGACTCTAAAATCGGCTCCCCATGATTTCCTGCCGAAGGTGCTCTCGAAATGGTGAGGGCGTGGGCCCAAACGAGTTTGATCGCGACTGATCTGATCGGGTTGGATCTGATCGGGTTGCTTGTGATCGTAGTGCCCGAGCCGCCCGATCCGAAATGATTTTCGGAGAAGGCTGTCAGCGCCTGCTGAGCAAGCGCGATACATTTGTGTGGCATTTTCGTCACCATTTTAGCGAGATTGACGACCAAAATTCACCTGGCGAAAATTTTCGTTTCACTGTCAGTGCTACAGTGTAACTACTCGCAAGCGTCGCTGGGTGCCCTGATCACAAGCAATCGATTGATTGCCTGTGATCGAGGAAAATCGACTCGGATCGGGGTTAATTTCGGGTCTGATCTAGGTTGGGCGATCAGCCGATCGCGATCAGGTGATTGCCCCTGATTGCCTGAATTTGGCTTCCAGGCTTCCTGAAAACTATTGATCGCGGCTGATCGAGGCGATCAAACCCGTTTGGGCCCACGCCATTACTCTCACGCGAAATTACCTGGAGCCAGCTTGCCAATGAAATCAACACAGCTGGCAGCTACCTCGTGTCTCCTTTTGAAACGCTACTTACCAGACCTCTGCTTGCGTGGCGGTTCATGGGTTTCTGTGTGGAGACCCAGTTAGAGCTGCTGAGGTGGCGAAACTCTAGCGAGGACTCGAACCAGAAGAGCCAGCCTCGGAAAATATGAACGCGGCTCCAGATGAAGCCGACTCGGTGAAAATGTGCCTCCAAGAATCACATTCAATTTCAAAAGCACATTGAATTCAACACCACCACTTCGCGGAGTTCTTGCTTGGGCTGATAGCAGTCTTTGCATCTGCTAGGTTCCTGGTACTGCTGCTGCTTAGGCAGCCCTGTCCGTTACGTCGGTTCATTTCGTTGAATGTGTGTTTTTTTCAAGTTTTTGATCTTTTCCATTTGGTTTTGAAGCAGAGTGCTGTTCGCGGAGGTAGGAGTAGAGGCGCAATGGAGAGTTTATTGCCTCACCTTTTCCTGTTTTGGCTTGTGATTATGCTTCAATGGCCGGCGCATTCGAGCGCTTTGAGGATGGGAAGTAGTCTTCGTACGAAAATCTACATCCATGCTTCAAGGCGGCTGCAGCAGACTCCCGTTGCAGCATGCCCGGCCACTCCTCTTGCAGATTGCGACTTCTTCTTTCAAGGAAACAAACATTTTGTTCCCATTTTCCAGTAAGCACTTATTTCCTTAACTTTTTGAAGTATATTTTGCTACTTTATCTTCTAATCCATTCAGAGGAAGTATTAATTTATTTCCGAATTGCACAGGCTTCCTGGAGTCCCCGATGGTCAAGTGACGGCAACTCCAATCCTCGACAAGTACGGCAACGTTCTCGAATCAGCTAATACCGGGGACAATACAGTCTTCTGCATCTCTCCTCGGTTCGTCCAGTCCTACACCTCCAACCAGTTCTACATCACCGGAAATCCCCCAACCCTGCGCATGCGCGGCATCAATGCCCCTTTCACCCGCGCAGCCTTTGAGAACATCTGTGCGGTTCTCACACTCACATCGGCGGCTATTCCGGAGAATGGCACTGTTTTAAACCTCAATCCAGGGGATGAGAACCAGAGGGCGTATCCTGATGCGCGTCGCTGCATTGCATTCAAAACTGGACCCAAGGGACCCAGTGGTTCGTGTGCCGGAAATGTGAGTCAAGCACCCGTGCCTGCTCCCAGCCCTGCCCCCGTGCCTGCTCCCAGCCCTGCCCCCGTGCCTGCTCCCAGCCCTGCCCCCGTGCCTGCCCCCAGCCCTGCCCCCGTGCCTGCCCCCAGCCCTGCCCCCGTGCCTGCTCCCAGCCCTGCCCCCGTGCCTGCTCCCAGCCCTGCCCCCGTGCCTGCGCCCAGCCCTGCCCCCGTGCCTGCGCCCAGCCCTGCCCCCGTGCCTGCGCCCAGCCCTGCCCCCGTGCCTGCGCCCAGCCCTGCCCCCGTGCCTGCGCCCAGCCCTGCCCCCGTGCCTGCTCCCAGCCCTGCCCCCGTGCCTGCTCCCAGCCCTGCACCGGTGCCAGCACCAGGCCCTGCTCCAGTACCTGCACCTTCTCCAAAACCCTGTCCCACTCCGTCGCCACCACCACCCCTCTGTCGCCCTACAACCCCTCCCCCAGTGTCTAAGCCACCACCAAAGCCACCAGTCGTTCCTAGCCCTCCGCCACCTCCTCCAACTCCCCCTTCACCTACTCCTTCACAGCCATCCTCTCCACCACCTCCCTCACCTCCACCCCCACCCCCACCCCCACCCCCTCCACCTCCACCTCCACCTCCACCTCCACCTCCATCACCTCCTCCATCACCAGCCTAGGCGATGTTCGGCTGCCACAGGTGATCGACCAAGGGATGGGGGGAGGGATCAACTTCTCAGCCAGGGTTTCTAGTTTGGGGTGGTCAACTCGGAGTCTACCATCGTTGACTCCAACTCTGGGGTCCAGGCGCAAGCAGAACATTTGGGGGGAAAAGGCGCAGACGAGCGATTCGGGAAATGGGGGCTCACAAAACTGCAGCCGCGCGAATCGAAACTTCGCGCGATAAACAGATTTCCCGAATTTACTGTTGCGATTTGTTTGGGTAGTTCACTTTCCGAAAACTCTGTACACCGTTGATCTTTTGTAAGGGTGTAAAAGACCATTCGACCTTATTTTGAGTAAGCGTGTTCATTTTAGATCTGTGTGTTTAGCATTATAAATTTCAAAGTCCGCGTTATTTGTTTTTTAGAGTATGGGGTAAATTTCTAATGGGAAATCGTGGAAGGGGGTATGCATTTTTCATCCCCCGTGGGTTGAGACCACCCACAAGAATGCACTTTCTATGCCCTGAACACTAGGGCGAAGTTTATTCCGCCATGGGGGGGAATCTAGGGGAGGACGCGACGCGGGTTCAAGCCTAGCGCGAGGTTCGCGTCACGTTTTAGGCTCACGTCCGACACTCATTTCACAAATTTCTTGTCTGACCGAAGTGTTTTGCCTAGTTCGAACAGGTCGAACCAGGAGGCTCGGCGTTTTCATGCTCTACCCCATCCCCTCCCATCACACCCCTGTGGCTGCCGAACATCGCCCTAATAATGTGTGGGCTGTGCTAATTGTCAGAGGTCCACTGGGGATCCCCGATGATCCTAGGGAAGGGTTACAGGCACGTCGGCCTGGGGGGTTATGGGCGCACTCACCCGCTATATAAACAAGCCTTTTTATCCCAGTGGTTAGTGGCTGGGATTCTGACATGGTATCAGAGCGAAGGTCTCGGGTTCGATTCCCGGTGTGTGCACTTCGGGCATCCCAGTGCGGGGGGGTGTCAGAGGTCCACTGGGGATCCCCGATGATCCTAGGGAAGGGTTACAGGCACGTCGGCCTGGGGGGTTATGGGCGCACTCACCCGCTATATAAACAAGCCTTTTTATCCCAGTGGTTAGTGGCTGGGATTCTGACACTAATTTCTTATGGACTGCCACCTAGCGTACCAGTTGAAATGCATACGTGATATATTTTGCATATGAAACAAGTTTTATGGTTCATTGAAGGATGGCCAGACTGAATGTAATTGTAATTTCCTGTGTAACCCCGAAATTCCCCCCCACAGCGAATTTCACACTCTCCACTTTCTCCCGTATGGCCAGTGTCAGAGGTCCACTGGTGATCCCTGATTGATCCTAGGGAAGGGTTACAGGCATGGCGGCCTGGGGGGTTATGGGCGCACTCACCCGCTACACAAACAAGCCCTTTTATCCCAGTGGTTAGTGACTGGGATTCTGACATGGTATCAGAGCAAAGGTCTCGGGTTCGAATCCCGGTGTGTGCACCTCGGGCATCCCAGTGCGGGGGGGTGTCAGAGGTCCACTGGTGATCCCTGATTGATCCTAGGGAAGGGTTACAGGCATGGCGGCCTGGGGGGTTATGGGCGCACTCACCCGCTACACAAACAAGCCCTTTTATCCTAGTGGTTAGTGACTGGGATTCTGACAGCCAGCGGCGTGCCGTCAACTAAGCGTGCGTCGATTTTCAATAAGCAGCGGCTAAGCGTCAGTTGCAGTTTCCGTGCGGCAACGGTATTAACTAAAGTGTAACTTGCTCCTCCGTCTATAAAAATCTTCACTGCTATCCCCTATATTTTCCCGTGGATCAGCATTGGGCAATCTGCCGCTGTACCCTCCTTATTCATCCGAGCCCGATCGATGGCGTGAATCGGTACTGTGACTCGGTGAGGGTCAGTTTGGTCAGGCGAGCAGTTAGTCTCGTCAGTAGTGGGCCCGTTTTGTACTGACCACTAGCGTTTCCCTGCCTCTGAGACTCCCTCCCCTGCTCTGCTCCTCGGCGCCTTAGCACCTCTAGGCGTTTGCTCTTGCGATGGCCCGGCCTATTGCAAGCAAAGCAGCGCCCCTTAAACGGCGCGGCAGCTGCGTTCGCCGCAACGGCATGTACGGTGGCACGCTCGGTCGGTCCCTGAGGACGATGTCTGTAGTAGGACTCCGGTCTCAGACATCGCAAAATGTCGATTTTCTCGGCGACCGCTAAAATTTCGTTGAAATTGGATACCCCGCGAAGAATGATTTCATGCGAGATGTCCTGCTTCAGTCCGCCGACGTAACAATCCACCCGCTCCGCCTCGTGCATGTAGCCGACTTGCTCGCGCAGAGTGAGAAAACCGCTGGTGTAGTCTTGAACCGACCCGAGCTGCCGCCAAGTGCGCAGGTTCTGCCGCGTCGAAATTGAAGCCGCAATCGGCTCGAAGCGCGCCCAAAGCTCTGCGCACCACGCATCCCACGTGCTGTACTGGGCTGTCTCGCAGAACGAACTCCAAGTAACGACTGGCCCCGTGGGCTCTTCCTCTCACGACGGCGGCTCGCGTGGCGACGTTATGATAACTTGTCACCAGTCCTTGGCGGGGCCCCGAAGCAGCGAGACCGCGTATCTAATCTTCGCTGCGTCCGACGTGACGTAATTTGTGTCGAAGAAGACATTCATCGTGAAAACCCACGATTGAACCGTCGGACCTCCGCGTTGGCTGGGGTCGAAGCAGGGCGGGCGCTGCGGCTTGAGTGTCATTGGCTCGCCAATGTCGCCGTTGCCTGCAGACGCCACAAATCCGACATGACGACACGCTTCGCGGGGTGCATTCACGGTTGGAACGGCCCCGGTCCTTCCCGTGCCAAGCATTGATTGGGCGGCGCCATCACTGGCTGCGCCTGAGCGCTGTCCCACGCTGTCGTGCTTGATGTGACGGTGTCTTGGACAAGATGACAATCGGCTCATCCGATTGCGCAGGTGCATTTGCAGGTGTCGGTGCTGGTGCTGGTGCTGGTGCTGGTGCATTCGTCGTTGATTGCTGTCGGGCGGAGTCGCGTTCCGCCGTGAGTGCCGCGATTTCGAGCGCTGAATCTTCGAGTTGGCGCACGAGTTTGTTGTGACGCTCCTGCGTCATTGTCGCGAGGTTGAATTTGGCCATGGCGGGGGTGTCGGGCAAGCTCAGCGAGAGCCTCAGTCGTGGCCGTGCGTGCTTACGAGAGAGCACTTCGAGCGGCGGTGCTTGGGCGCTGAGAGACGCCTACCCCCTCAAAAAATTGAGATAGTGGGGAAACGAAGGTGTGGGTGCGGTCCGAGAAGAGATCGTAGGCTCTAAATACCTAGTGTTACGAATGCAATTGAGCGAGCGAGCGAGAATTGCACTATCGAAGCAAAACAGTACAATCAACAAAGACATGAGCGAGAACTATATAGCGAAGGGCCACAGTGGTTGTTAAGGCGAAGCCCTGCACGCGCCTGGTTTCGCGTGTAGCAGCCCTATGCGGAGTAGCGAGACTTTGCATACCGCATACCGGTGTTGCGGTATTCGCCGAGTACAATCCAAAAGTGCACTTCGGTATGCACTGTTCAACACTGAACCGAATTGGAGGGAAGTGACGACATTGCACAAACGAGTATGTGCAACTGTCTGTTGCGAGCACCTGCGCAACTACTCCTGGGCAGGTAGAAAATGCACCTGACGGTATTTTCACCTGATGGCATTTTCACCTGGCGGTGCCAACCTGGAACCGCATACTAGAGTAGGTGCTTGCACGTTCTCCTTGAACAACGTTCTTCATGAACAACGTTCTTCATGAACAACGTTCTCGTAGAACGTTCTCGCACATGTCACTATGATTCCTATAAGGTTCATGTTGTATCTGTTGTAATCTATTAATTGACCAATTTCTTTCTTTCGTTACTCGATACCACGCCTGTTGCTGTATACCAAGCATACTCTTCTCCGACTACCAGTATCCGGTTTCCAGCAAGTCCGTATCACAAACCTCGCACTTCACTCTCTGATCGTGCAAACTCTGCGCCTAGGCTCTCCCACAATCGCCTATTCTCCACAGTGGTAAAGGTAACAAACTGTGGGAGGTGCGCGACAGGCTTGTGATTGAGCTTGGGACTGAGGTCCGGAAATTTCGAAGCGGAGGCCCGGAGGGCGGGTTACCAGCCGAGCCGTGAGGTTGGGTCGCGATGAGTGTAGTGGCGGGAATGTAGTTGAGGCGAATGTCGCGAGTGTGTGGCGGGAACAGTGGTGGTACGCGCTAAGCAGAGATGAGGCGTAAGGAAAAGGAATTTCCTTACGACGTGTTGCGACCCACACGGGTCAGGTCGACCAACCCCCGACCCTTCACTTCTAGGAAGGCTGCGTCGCGGGTCTAACCGACCAGGTCGACCCGACCGGGTTGGGTCGGGTCTGCCAGAGCCGGGTCGACCTGGTCGGGTCGACCAGGTCGACCAGACCCAACCCAACCGAGTCGGAGCAGGTTACTTGAGCCGACGAAATTTACAGATCTCGCGCAGCTATCGCCCTGATTTCGTCGCCTGAGAAGATACCAGGTAAATTCGCACAAATCTCGCCACAGCTCGCCACAAGTTGCCCAGGACACCATCCCCTCGCGCGGCAACTGCTTCGCATCATCCTCGAGGATGTTCAGAAAGAGTCGGGAAATTCTCAAAAATCCCGAATCGCGTTTCCGGGGGTCTGGTCGGGTTGGGTCTGGTCGACCAGGTAGACCCGACCAGACCCAATCCGCGTGGGTCGCAACACGTCGTTACAGTTCGCCAAGTCCGACTGGTACTCTTGGGCTGGGGTCGGATCTGGATGACGGAGAGGCACTGTGCAGTACGTTCGATGGAAGATATTTCGACGTTCCGCAAAACGGCAAAGTTTGTGAACCAGCCCAGCTGTCAAAGTCCCCGCAGTGCGTGTCAGTTCCGTACTGTAAATCAGTGAACACAGACGAAATTCGCACTAATCTACGGTGGGAATTATGCCTTTTTCCATGCCCAGCTGCCCGTTCGGCACAACTGCTTCAGTGAGTTTGTTTTTGCGGTTTGACGGAACAATTTCGAGAACGAATCGCCGAAGGTCTCAGTGAAGCAAATGCTGCCTGTCGTACCTTTACCGTCACTTACCGTCTTGTCCCGATCTCCCATTCCGT